GTGTGTGTGTGTGTGTGTGTGTGTGTGTGTGTGTGTGTGTGTGTGTGTGTGTGTGTGTGTGTGTGTGTGTGTGTCCTAAATTAGGTGAATGACTTGTTGTTGCTGTGTGGATCTGCCTGCCAACACAAAGGCCCTCTCTTCGACTTCAGTTAATCAGTATGCAGCTCCTCTCCACATCACTGTCCTTGTGTTGTAAAAACATACACACACACACACTCTGACACACACATAGATGCAAATAAACGCACACTTCATTGGAATTTTGTTCCTGACTTCACCATTGTCCTTGTGGTATAAATATCACATATACAACAAAGAACACAGAAGCTGAACTGAGTCCAAAGTCCTGAATGCCCGTGTGTATATATGTGGATGTTTTCACATTCGCACAAACTTACTCCAGCTCCTCTCTCACACACACATGCATCCATACCAAAGATATCCTTGTGAGAAACCATGATATTCAAGAACGCACACACACACACAAACACACACCCACACACACACATGCAAACACACACACACACACTGGGGTGATAAATAAAGCAGTGCGAGCTCAGCAGCAGCCCTTTGCCATGTCAGGCTTTACTGATGTGTCGACCAATCCAGGGGAGTGATTCAATCAGGTCTGCAAAGCAACAGCCTAAACTCAGATCTACAATGTGAACACACAGGAAAACACACAAACACAGACATCAACACAAACACAGACACAAAGTTATGAGAAAGTACATTTTTTTCCATCTTTTTCTCAAAATTAGTTTTCTGTTTCTCTTGTTGTTACTATTTTTTTTAAAAAGAATCTTGTTCAAATGACTGAACTATTTCTTTTCACTTTTGGCTACACTTTTAAAAGCTAGTTATTGTGACAACACATGAATAGATGACATGTAACTCTTTCACAATGACATAAAAAAAAACAGTGAAGTAAAGCTAATTAAGCAGGGTTAGCACAGAATATAAATAGGAGAGGACAATAGTGGTAAAGGTAAAGATTACAAAACACCCTTCTCAATTTTAAATGTCTTTTGAGAACTCAATCATAAATTTAGCTCTCTCAAGTGTGTGCTGTCAGACAAATGAGTGAAACTCATCCTACACTGTGATAGGCACCTTTAAGATCCCACATACATTTTTAAGCAAAATCTGGACAAACAAAACAAAACAAAAAAACAGCAAACAGCTTCACCTGCTTACCTATAGATAGTCGCATTTCATGAGTGTTTCACATGTATTTTGAACAACCAAAACAGGAACAAGATGCTGAGGATGTCAAAGTATAAACCCATGAACACAACATTCTCAGGAATGTAAAACAATACGCTCTGACTCTAATGTCATATGTGTGTGTGTGTGTGTGTGTGTGTGTGTGTGTGTGTGTGTGTGTGTGTGTGTGTGTGTGTGTTTCTGTCTTAACGTGGAAGATACAAGTGCAATACATTTGCAAGTCATTCTCAGTCCTTTATATCCTACTGAGACCCACTGAGGCCCACTGAGGCATAATAGTTCCCTCTGACATACATAGATAACCAACAGCTCCTGGCCACAATCTCGGTGTCAGTCCACTTCAAGCTCTTAAAGACCCTGGATCTGTGTACTCATGCATTCTTGAGCATTCATTCACCCATTTAAGAGTTCAAAATGCAGAAAATAAAGATGGTATATCCATGTCCTCTTGTTTCTCTCTAAACTCAACAATTGAACAATATGTGATCAGTCTGGGTGTTGTGTTACAACACAGACAGAGTCATAATAGTAAAGTGAAGGTAAGAGCTTGTATAAGACATTAAGGGAAGTATATGACATTAAAGCGCTGTTTTATCTCTTAGACACAAAGCACAGTTTAGGTATCCATGACTGTAATCAATAGTTTTCTGCTCTGAGTTTTGGCTCACCATAGATAAGCGTAACATAAAAGCACTATCAACAGCTCTCTGCCATTTCATGTAAACGTGTGCTCTGCTGAGACTACTACACTTCCATCTCATGCATTAAATTATATGTGTCAAAGGGTTAATTGTGCAAGGCAGGGTGCTCTTGGATTAAATTAAAGGTGAAAAGCATTTCTTTAAGGAAAAGCGCTATAATGTGATTAGTGTAATCACATTTAAATTAAGCTAGATAGATATCGCCTGGCTGGCACTTCATATTGCAAATGGGTGGTATATAATACAACGATAATACAATGGCTTGAAGCTATACGCATTTTAGGAGAAAATAGGATTAATACAGATAAGCCACAACATTAAAACCAGCTGCCAGGACACGGCTGAACCACTGGATCTCAGAAACAGGACCTATGTGGGGGTGTTCTGCAGTATCAGGATTGCATGGGCTTTTTGTTTACGGCCAAAGATCCTGCCACTGGCTTGTGTTTGGTTTGCAACAGTGTCGTGGTGGGTGGGCCACCACGACCGTCACAATTGAAAATTCCCCAACACAACATTGGATTTGTAAAGTGATGATCAGCACTGTTTTCTTAATCATAATGCTGCCATTGTTGTGAGTAATTATTTTTGTTCTGTTCAGTGAGTAAATATATTAGAAGTTATGTTTCCCACAGGTTAGCAGCAGTCATCTCACCTATAAAACAATAATCTGATACAGAAAGACAAAGAAGGGTGGGGCAGAAGCTTGTTGGGGTCAAAGTATTAGCATCTGATAGAAGTGACATAAAGTATGAGGCCCTCAAAGGGAGATGAAAAGAAAAAGAAAAACAGGTGAAGGGGAGAAAGAGGGCGGCCACCTCACCACCTTTTTCTTTCTGTCTTTTAGAAGCACACACATACACAAATGCACACCATGTCTTTCCTTCTCTCTGTCTCTTACATCAACCTGCCTGTCAACCCTGCCGACCCAAACGATCCATCAAATGCTGCTTCTACTGCTCCAAGAGATGGAGGGAAGGATAAGGATGTGAGAGAGGACGAAGAGACTCTGGTCAGAAAGAGGGAGTCCACTTTCAAAGCTACTTCTGAAATACAAGAAGACAATGGACTGGCTGACCAAAAGAAGGGGCCTGAGGCCACTGAGGAACTGACAAATGTTTATATGTCCATCCCTGTTTTTCATTATTTTTGGTATAACCGCACCTCCTGTTCCCCTTTGCCTAACTACTAATTTGCCTCCATTTCTTTTCACTTTCAGAAAACTGATGCAAGCAAAAATGCTAAATGCTCCAATTAAATGAAGCAGCAATCTTTCTCTGCAAATCCCAAGTGATGTCTCTCTCGCTCTCTCTGGGTTTTTTTTTTCAAAACAAAATAATTTGGTGTAATGACCAGTGAAAATTGTGATAAATTACCCTAGCTTTTGCCTTCCGTGCAAGTTCAGATTGCATTGATAAAATATACAGCCTTACATTTTACAGTTCAACCTCTTCATTTACATGTCCATCTGCTCAACTCTTCTCTTCGCCGTTCACTCATTCTTGAAGCCAAGAAGCTCCAAAAATTACTCAGAGTAGTTAAGCATGCATATACATTGGACATTGGGAAATACTGTATACTCTTTACAGTACCCTCCTCCCCATCTCCCCTTTCATCCTTTAGTATGGTATCGATAATTTCACTTGTCTGCAGTGTCTACATTGTTTATCTCCCTTCTTCTCTTCTCTCCTCCTTCCATCTCATCACTCTTTCCTCTTTTCCCCTGGTTTCTTATCACACCCTGCCCTCTCATCTCCAGGCAGGAAAGGAGAGGGAAAACAGACCAGGGTGGAAGAAGAGATAGTGGGAAGAAGAGTGACAGCAGCTTACAGGGAATTGGATGGGGGCTTTTTTCCTGTGTATGTGTGTTTTTTTTTATCTGACTATCCAACTGTCTCTTTCTCTCACACACACACACACACACACACACACACACACACACACACACACACGTAATCCAAGGGTCTTTTCTGTCGAGTTCTGTATGTCTAAGGGTCCTCGGCTTCTCTAACACACACACACACAGACATGCACACACACAATGGATACCTTGAATGCACACCTGCCTATATACAACTGTTCACATAAAACCTGCAGGGAAACACAGGAATGTACACTGACAAAAAATATCTGTAAAAACGCACGCTCTACATTTGTAAGCAAAGGAACATGCAGCCCATGCAGGCATTTGCACCCCTCCCACTCCATCCCATGCAAGCATACTGCCTTTGTCCTACCTGTTACTGTGAATCAGCATTCTGCCTGAATTATAGGGCTGCATTATGGATTCTCTCCACAACCCACACAATCTCTAGACATTGCTCAAAGAAACACACACACACACACACACACACACACACACACACACACACACACCAGCAACACACCAGCAACACACAGCAGCAGCAGAAACCTCACCAAGAGTCATCTGTGATGCCTTTAAATGAAAAAAAAAATCGCTTACCTTCAAGTTCACCCTGTTGGTGTGACTCTATTTACACCACCACAGAAATGATACAATCACTTAACAGTGACCATACGAAACACAAGCTCTCCTGAGTTCACACTTGTAGGCTTCTCCATAAATTCCAAAGATGATATTGCGGGGGGTGGGGAGGGGGTACACTACTCTTATAACCTATTGAAGTGTATCGAAGTGTGTTTGTGAGGGTGCGCTGATCCTCTCAAACCGCCAGGCCTTAATTAAGCTAACTCCTCCATTGTTCAGATGACACTAACAACACAAGCAATCCCTGCACATTAGGCAAAACTCTCCACAAACCCCTCTCTCTCTCTGCTGTAGTAGTTTTTACAGAGCACTTTAACAAGCATAACAGCTCCACATCATTACACACACTCACACACACATAATATATGAGTATCATTATCCTCACTAACCAAGCAGAAATGTTTGACTAACATTAGATCAGTGGGGAACACACCAGTTTTCTTCACTGGTAAGTCAAATGAACCCCCCACCCTGACAAGCCCACCCTATCAACACATACACACACCCACATTAATAAATAAAATAAAAATATCTGCAGCTCTACCGGGGCTCTAAAACACAACCTGTAACACAGTAACTTAACTACCATTAGGCTTCTTAAGACATTACGACATTAGCAGTAGACGCAAATGAACAACGTGCTGTGCCTCATGGGGGAAACATAACAGATACCAGATATTCCAGTGAAAGATCAAAACACACATGTTATTTATTCCCTCTATGCCAGCCTGTTAGGCATACCTCTGCCCTTTCTGTCTTCTGCCATATGTCCTACATCACTCTTTTCCCCCTATTACTGCTCACTTGCCTCCTCCTCCACCACTTGCCCTCTCTCTGTACAATTGCCATAGCCTCAGACTAATGGAAGTAAGCAAGCCAATTGAACAGTCCAAGCCAACAACATACACACAAACACACACACACACACACACACACACACACACACACACACACACACACACACACACACACACACAGAAATAAGCTATAAATTCTATTCATATGTATAAAAGCAATATTCATGTAGAATAATTACATTTGAATGTATACATCAATTGACCTCGTAAATTCAGGTTTGCTCGACGGTAACCCTGGAAAAAACATAAATCATTTATATCACATGCAAATCTAATTTGCTTTACTCTGCAGTACATATTTAAAGCATTAGTGTGGGATGTTCCATCCATAGTCACACAACTTGAGCAGCCAGCAAGTGCACCATAATCTGTACTGTGGAAAAAGCAGATAGAGAAAGACTCGACCCTCTCCCTTCATCTCTACTTCCCCTCTTTTTTCTTCCATTTCTCGCTTCTTCTTCAGTCATCATCTCTGCTTCCCTCTAACTTCTTTTGCTCCTCATTCACAATTGCAATGTCACTCAAATAAGCACGGTATGCTGGCACAGAGGTCGGCATTGCACCATTCAAGGCTGGGTGTACTGGCAGAAATTAAACACATGCTTTGATGCTTTTATCTTTAAATCAGCAGCTACATTTCGCTTTCACTAAATCTCTGAATGCCAAACATCTCTAAATCTGCATCAGCAATCAACCCCCTGAAGGCAGCTTTTACATTATGCACTTAAACAACCAGGCACATCAGCTAAACAAGCAACCAGCGGGTGACCTTGGCCAATAAACTATTCATGATCTGAGTGGAGCAGCTGAATGTCAAACCACTACACAGAAGCACAAGAGAAACTAGTCTCCCTTATATTGAACTTAATTTCTCTCTAAAAAAAGTATAAATACTCGATGAAAGAATTCCATTTAAAGTTCCAATAACATCATGGAATCATATGTACCTTTTTTGTTGTTGTCTGCAACATCAAGAAACACAGCAGCCCAGCAGAGAGTCATGTATTTGATGTCCAAAATAAACTACTCAGGTAGCAGGCTCTCATTTCAAGCACTGTTACCTATTTTGTTGGGTCACTTGTAAACCCCTAAAATGCAATGCACCTGGCTAGCACTGTATAGACAGAAACACTCAGTAATCTAGCCTCATCCCTGGAGATTACTAGAAAACGTATTTCCACCATGTCAGACAAAGAAAAGCAACTCTACAACTGAACTCATTTTATATTGGTCAAATATTGCCCATCCAAGACATACAGACAACCATCAAGGTCGGTAGGTAAACCGTTTGCTGTTTGTGTAGATATGTACTAAATAACACATACATGGATGGGTAGCTGTACCAGGGGGCAGAAGGGTAGAATATTAGATGGAAAAACAAACAGGTTGAAAGTGAGGCAGAGGAAAATGAAAACCATGTGAAATCAGGACTCATGGGAGGAAACAGATGAGTGACTTTGTGCAAATGTCATCTCATTAGAAGGAGGAGGGAAAGAGGGAGCAGAATAACAAGAAGGCAACTGCAGCAGTCCATAGTAAATTTACTCCACGCTAAAGCACAAAGTAGGCCCCACACTGCGGAACAGAGAGAGAGAGATGGACTGTTCAGAACACCAGCCAGGGACACCATGCTCCATATTTTATTTTATGAAATTATGCCTCTTGTCCTCCCCTCCTCTTTTCTGAAAAAAAAGAGACAACGACACAGATTTGTTAATCTTTCTTACATACAATAGCTAAAACTGTGGCACACTGCTGAGCAGCACAAATGACTGCAACTTTTCCCAAACTTGCAGTATTTTCAGAAAGGAGAGTGGGCCATGGTCTCAGGGGACCTGAAATTCACTAGCAAACAATACGAATGCAGAGCTTTAGAGCAAAGGCAGCAGCAGAACTTGCAGAGGGTTGAGATTCACTTTCTCTCCCTCACTCTCACTGTACAATTTTCTGCACCCCTTTCTTCTCTCTTTCTCCCCCACCTCTCACTTTCTCTCCAACATACTGGGTCAGCTGAGCTCCTGCACTGCAGCATAGATGAGTGATGTGTTAAAGGGTTTTTCATGATCTCAGTAGTAAGCAAACTATAGCTTTTTTTTTTTTTTTTTTTGGGGGGGGGGCTTTTCATTATGCTTTTAAATTCTCTTTTTATGAAAAAGGACAATCTTAAACCTTATATTAATTATATTAATGCTTATATTAATTTGCAGAGGCACTGAAAATCATCACAAAGTTGTTGTGATGAAATGTTTCTATGCAGATGAAAATGTAGTCTTCTAGGACAATAATGTCCACATCCACAAGGCACAAGAGGTCATCAGTGAGTATGAAAATGGTATGCTACTTGCTTTGCAATCACCAGAGCTCCACCCATTTGAACGCTTATGGGAGATTTTGGGCTCATATATTAGAGAACATGCTTCGTTACAGACATCAAAGCTCTAAATGAGGGCATAAATATTTAAAGGTTCTATTCCTACACAGAACAGATTTATTTTAAATCACTTAAGCTCATCACTATTGAATGAAATGTGCTTATATCATGTAAAAGAAAAGTCTTTCTGTTCACAGATGCTAGTGCTATGGCCAAACCTACAGCAGATTTAAATTTAGCACTTTCATGACACCACAAAGACAACCAGAAGTTAGTTGAGTCATCAGCATTATCACAGAAAACTTAGATAAGCTCTGAGAAACAAAATAAATATAGAAAGGCTAGAGAGAGCGTTACCCAAGTCTCCCACCACACACCAACACACATATGCATAAAAAGTAGAACGTGCCTTTGTATACAGCACCTGCAATAGACTGCAACTTCAGCACCATGGTCAGAGACAGATTGGCTTTTTCAGCAAACTGGAGATAATTCTCTGTTTCCCAAATGGAGAAAGCATATCACGCATTACACACACACACACACACACACACACACACACACACACACACACACACACACACACACACACACACACTATACATGGTCACAACCCTTGCTTCCTAACACGCTGTCTCTGTACTTTATACTCTTTCATTTCAGGCTCTTCAAGGCTGACTGTGTGTCTTTCTATCTATCTTCCATCATCCTATCATTATGTCCTCTGCCTTCTCCTCTGGCAAACTATACCACCTATAACACCATACCTAACACCATTTGAGATCAAATAAAAGTCTGCATGTCACAGTCACTTTTGGGTTACTGATTCCATACAACATAAAGATTTTCCACTTACATTTACATCAAATGCTTGGAATAAACTCAGTAGTTTGGAGAGCCCACAAAAGCTTATCTAATAAACTTGTGGTATAGCTTAAATGAGTTCATATGAAACAGCACGGCCATGGTCAAGGATTAAATCAGTCAATTAAAATAGAATTATCTGTTATTTGTGATCGTTTGCTTGCATTTGCCTATATTATATTATACTTCATACATTTTTGTGATAACTGCATGATGAAAAAAGGCAGTCAGTCTAAAATTACCAGTAAACTACCAATCAGTTTTCATCAATAGCCTGATAAAATTAAGGTGGAAACAAACAAAAGCTCTTGCAATATCAGCACAGATCTTCTCCTTCAATATGATTTCGAATTTGTTTAAATAATTAGATGGAAGTCTTCAGAATTTTCAGTGATCCCAATACCCAATGGAGCCAAAGCCCAGAATCACAATGAAGCATTTAGGCAGGCAGTAAAACATAAGTAGGGAAAAGAATCCATAAAACAGAGATACGGTAACACAGTGAAGGCAAAGAACAAACCAAAACAGCACCAAAAAACCCCACATTAGCCTTGCTGGTGTAGAAACCTTGAGAGAAGGAATAGGTTAACTCAAATGCCAATTTCAACATCAATAGGTAAAAGCAATTTTCCACATGGAAAAGAAACATGCATCAATCCTGTTCTCCTATTGGTCTCCTTTATCTAGCATTCCACTAAAGTATGAAATCACTTGGAGATATTAGCGCAGGATAACAAGAGGATTTATTGGGATAAAACCACTCAGCATGAGATAATGGGACAAAGCCCAACACTCATTTGTGAAATACTATGGTGGGTGGGTTAGGATAAAAGGTAGCCAAGATACTGGGGTAAAGCAAAATTATCAGTGATCCCATTTTTTTTATGAATCATTAAAAAAGAAATGATGGTGTGACTTGCGAGTCGACAATGTAATGCATTATATTTTTAATCAAATTGAGTGCACACTAAAAATGCTGATCATATATTTTGACCTTAGGGTCAGTCAGATAAAGGAAGCTTTTATGTGTGTTGCTATATATATA